GGCTGGGACCAGACTGAGAACCAGGCCATGGTCAGGTGAGGCTGCCCAGCTGTGCACGTGTAGGCTGGGACCAGACTAGAACCAGGCCATGGTCAGGTGAGGCTGCCCAGCTGTGCACGTGTGGGCTGGGACCAGACTAGAGCCAGGCCATGGTCAGGTGAGGCTGCCCAGCTGTGCACGTGTGGGCTGGGACCAGACTGAGAACCAGGCCATGGTATAGGAAGGCCCAGTCAAGACCACCTGAGTGCTTCCTCTTCCTTCAGGCAGTTTCAAGGCCACACAGATGGGGCCAGCTGCATTGATATCTCTAATGATGGGGCACGGCTGTGGACCGGGGGCCTGGACAACACTGTTCGCTGCTGGGACCTTCGTGAGGGCCGGCAGCTCCAACAGCATGACTTTAGCTCCCAGGTACCCAGGCTGGGGGCTGGTGCTGGGCCTCTGGGGTCCCTTGGCTGTGGCAGCACCTGCATAGACCCCTCCAGGATGAAAGTGGGAGGGCAGAAGGAGCATCAGGACCGGAATCTAGCTCTTGTGGGCAGAGGATGGGCTGGGCCCAGAGAGTGCTCATTGCATGGGCGTCCCCGTCACCCTCTCCTCCACCCTTCAGATATTCTCCTTGGGCCATTGCCCCACGGGTGACTGGCTGGCGGTGGGCATGGAGAGCAGCACCGTGGAGATCCTGCACGTCAGCAAGCCAGACAAGTACCAGCTGCACCTGCATGAGAGCTGCGTCCTCTCCCTCAAGTTTGCCTCGTGTGGTAGGTGACGAGCTGGTGCCCAGCGGGAGCAGGGGGAGAGGGATTGGGGAACGGAGGGAGGGCGGGCCCGGACTGGGGGAATGGCCATGCCCTTTCCATGGTGGCTGCCTCCCTCAGGAGTTTCACCAAGTGGTGCCATCCCCCTAGTGGGGTCTCTGGCCTGCTGCTGTCTACTTCTCATCCTCCTTTTTTCAGTAACAGCTTCTGACTTAGCAATAGAAGTGTTGACCCTTCCCCACCGGGCACAGGGCCCGGCTCTGTGTCAGCAAATATTTGTTAAGTGAATGGATGACGTCAGTGGGTGAGCTGCTGGAGAAAAGCAGTGGCCTTGTCTATGATTATCTTGTGTTTTTCTGGCTATGCTGTGTTAACAGCATACACAGAACACAGAATGTGAGAGCTGAGAGGGCCCTTGGAACACAGAAGATCAGGGCTGGGCCCCTGGAACTCAGAATGGGAGGGTTCTTAGAACACAGAACGTCAGAGCAGGGAGGGCCCTTGGAACACAGGATGTCAGAGCTGGAGAGCCCTTGGAACCCAGGATGTCAGAGCTGGGAGGGGCCCTTAGAACCCAGGATGTCAGAGCTGGGAGGG